TTGAAATTTTAGATGTAGATGCTCCTAGTTTCCGCGCAGATCGAGTTTGTTTCCGATAATCGATAACTTACTCCGTTTCCAAGCAATCGATAAAAATCGATATCGATATCCTGTTTTTTGGGCAATTTTGGTAAATAATAAGAGCTAGAGTCACCAAACTTGACATATAGCTTCTAAAATAGAATATATATGTGCATTTGATGTTGGAAGAAGAGGGTTCAGGGTATCCCCTAGTCGGGAGCTCCCGCCTTGAACCTCTTACTTGTTTTTATATATATTCAAAAACCGTTAACACGAATTACATTTATGTATTTTTTAAATGGCATATTTAGGCATCGTTTGGTAAACCCAAATGGTGTCTTTCCTGTTTCTTACATACTTTACATGACTATACCTAAAAATTAGGTTCCCTGCCATTGGTCGAGATCTTAAACAAAAGCGCTAAGGTGTCAAAAGTCCACGCTAAAGTCAATAAAAAATAGTTTACCATCGACTGTATGTATATGTATGTATATGCATACACACTTTTGTTTGTGTGGTTCGAACTATTTGAGTGCTTGTTTGTTTTCCACTTAAAACCAGAACAGCAAAACAGCAAAAGTATCTATTTAATATGCGACATATTTTGTGCTTACTGCCAAGAAGGCGGCTTGACCGTATTGTCAAAGAGAGCTAACATATATTTTTTTATTCTTGGCATAATTTTTGGCAAAAAACTTCGTTCTTTTTATTTGGAATGTGGTTGCGACACAGAAAGGCAGCTAATTCGAATCTTTAAGCTGCTGTAAGCGTGAACATTTGCATAAACCTATTCAATTTTGACCTATACCTTACTTCATATTCATATCTTATCAAATTAGACTAAGAATTAAAAATAGGTTTTAGGTGTGGAAGCCTATTGGCTACTTCACTTAAGTTCTTTAGCCTTTACAAAAGTCGAGTTTATTTTAGCTTACTTCTGTTTTCTTATAATGTCACTGAATACAAATAGGCTACAGATTTGCATACAAGATATATTTTTGATAATAGAAACCAAGGCTGTAGAACCAAGAAAAAAATACGCGTTCCTACTCTTTCCTGGGGCTTTCATGTTTTCGCAAAATTATTCTTTCCTACTTTTTTCTGGGTCTTTAATGTCTGCGCTGAAATTTTGCTTCACACTTTTTGAAATCTTCTATAGACAAATTAAATGTATTATAAATTAAAAATGTTCTACCTATATATTTGTTTAAATAGCGTTTTCCATAATCAGAGATTAAAAATCTCAAAAACTAAACAACTCTATCCATATTATTTTCAGTTATTTCTTGACAAAATAGGGTTTGATACAGCTTTAGGCTCGTTGTTCTTCATCGAGCTAATTAAATTAAAATCTTCCTTGATAGAAATTAAATGTTAGTTAGTTTGGCGACCCTCAGGTCTTTATTGTCTTTGAGAAAGAGCTTTTAAATATAAATAATAAATGTATGCTGAAAACACTTCATATTTAATTTTGCCTATCAGCGCTTTTGCTCACCTCAAACAGTTTAATCCAATTTTAATACAATCCAATTGATTCTATGTGTCGGTTGCTGTTTATCCAAATATAATGTTTAAAGAAAAATATCCAAGCTGTTCCGTAAGTTTATGGCACACAAATAAACGATGCTTCAAAAACGATTCTTGCGTGCAATTAATTTAACAAATTGCTTTACTTTCACCCAAAACTGCGGGTACTCGACTAACAATTATTCATGTAACATTTGCATATTTACGAGTACTTTGATCTGCTAGACATTTAGCATTTAGCACACTCGCACACATTTGTTTTAGGAGGGCACTCGACACCAAAATTTACTTATGTTGCATGCATCTTTTGTTGTTGTTGTTGTTGTTGTTGTTGTGGATGTTGCTGCTGCCGCTGCTGCTGCTGCAGTTTTGGCAGGTTTCGTTAACAGGAAAATTGACTTTATATACAAATATGTATGCATGCATATGGGTAGAAACTACACGATATATAAGTATGGGTAGTAGCGAAAACAACTTTTCGCGAATATTACACACACGCACACACAGACACGTACACGTACACGTACACGTTGATGTACACACATACACCCATAAAACGCCCGCGGCGTTTGGCGTTTTTGCGTCTGGCGTAAATCGCGGTCTAGAGAGCAGAATCGTTCTGCACGACGAAAAGTCAAAAACACAACTGAAACTTCTTTGGGAAAAAGTATTTTTACAGCGCATGGCACGCGCAATAGACCAACAATGGGTCTTGCTTGGGTCTCAACAGGTCTTGAGCTCAACATTTTGAGTGAGTTTTTTTTTTGTTTTTTTTTTTTGCCTGCCTCTGAAACCAGTTGATCTTGTTTCTGAGTCGGTTTTACTGCTGCTGCTGTTACATGACTCGGCGCTCGCTGCTCGCAGCTCCTTTGGCAAGTTCGTGTCCTAAGTCTTTTGTTTTGCCTGCATTGCAATTGCTTTACTCGTAAATGCATGGCATTATTATCTATGAGTTATTTACGCTTAGCATTTTTGCTCTTGTTATGACCAGACGTGGCTGTATTGCTCTGCTGTTGTTGCTGCTGCTGCTGCTGCTGCTGGCGTGTTGTCGTGGGCTTGGCACACGTTCAACCTCAACCCCCGGACAATGTTTGGGGGCCCCAGGAATGTCCATGGCGGCGGCGACAGGTTTGCTCTCAGCGCACTCTAACTCCACTGCAGCTTGGCACATTTGGCGTAAATATATTGGCTACTGTTTCCAGCTGCAATTGCCAAATGTATTTTATTTTTGTGTTTCTTTTGAACTCAAATTTTGCGGCGTAGGAGTCGATGGTTCAATGAACCGAGCCTGCAGAACTGTTACTAAAAAAGAGATAGGAGCTATAGGAGCTATGGAACGACCTTGTCGTGTGTGCCAAGTTTCAAAGATTTGTGCTGCCATCGTCTTAACTTTTTTCGGAATTTATTGCCCGGCCGTTGTTCAGCTTGGTTTAGTTTAGTGTGCCATTGTTCTGACCAGCGCGTCGGTTCTTTTCAAATCTTATGACAATAAAGAGCGGCATTTTTCTCCTGACTTGTTGTTGTTGTTTTTTATATATACTTATATAGATTTTTTTTTGCTTGAAGCTGCCGCAACGTGAAAACCAGTCGCGGTCCGTATGCTCTGTGCTCTGCTCCTGCCAATGCCTCAAACGCCGAACCGAACCCGAACGTCAGGGCAGTCACTTGATCAACTGGCAGCCAACTGGTTAAGAGTTGCTGAAAAGCATGCGCCAAAGAATTTAGCCAGCAATTTTTGGAATGTTCAATGTACCAAGTGTGCAAACACGACAAAAAAAAAACTGAACAAGAAACCGAAAACAAAAGCTCAGTTCTTAAGCTTCTAAATGCAATGGCCGAAGTAAACATGCTCTGCCCAAAGATTGCATATTGTTTCTTATCAAGTCTATGTTGTCTGCTTGAGAAAAGTTACTTATGAGGCCAAAAGTTAAAAGTTTGCTTTTAAATCCGTAATTAATGAATGCAAACTTGATAACAAGCGTAATATGCCTTCCAGTTGTAAGTGTATGCAAAGAAGTGACGGCTGCAAGCGTTTCACTTGGAAGTAACAAAAAGGAAGAGCAGGAAACACCTTGAACGTGGGCTTTGCAAGAAGGGCTTTTGTCAGTAATTAGCAAATAGCTTACTGTTCATAGTGACAATTTCTTTTTGAGAATATATAAGAAACCAGCGGCTACTTTGCAGCCTTGGCTGAATCAGGCTTTTCGCTTTAAAAATGAGCTTTAATTTGAAAAACAAACTGTGGCACGCGCAATCTTTGACCCACATTTTTCAGTAAAACAGGCTGGATTCACTGAAAACGCGCAACACGTCTTGAATAAACTTGCAAAATGATCTAACAAAATGATTTGAATGCTAACCGAAACATCCAGGATAAACCGAATTGTATAAAGATGATTGCCCAAAGAAATCTACATTTTATTAGACGCAGGGTCAAACTAAGTATCAGCCAGCGCATTGTTTTCTGGCATTTTAATGCTACCCATTACGTTTGTGGCAGTGTTAAGGCCAATAAACGCACAAGCTGTTATTTTACTGAGGCAATTTAAACGGCATTAGCGCTAATAATTTGCTTTTACCTACCTGCCACCTGGAGGGCGAGAGACCACAGGGCCGTAATCTGAAAATCTCTTGCATCACTTGAAAATAATAATTATTGGGCAAGGACGTGACGTTTATTGTGACAGCGGAGCGCAGTGACTGCTTTGGGTAATCCTACTCGGTGTCCCTCTCCCTTTGTCTTTGCCTTCGCCTGACATCGCCTGGGTTCCTCCGGTGCTTAGGTCTCGGTTCTGTTCCTGAGTCGCTGCATGAGGCATAAATCAACACGAGCCGCAAAATGCAACCGCAACCAAGCAAAAGGTAAAACTCAGGTAGCAATACCAAAAACGACGACGACGACAACATCAAATTCCGAAGCCTCCAAACAAAACCAACGTTCCGTTTGTCGACCCAAACTTTAAACTCAATTAGTGCAGTGTGTATGTGTGTGTGTGTGTGTTGCATTCTTTGCATGCCAATGTGGCATTTGATTGATAATTTTGTTACGCCTCGAACATGTTTCAAAATACATTTTTGATAACTTCGGGTTGCCGTTCCCAAGATTTATGACATGTTCTGTTTGAATCTCTATTGTTATTGTTATTGTTGGGCGTTAGCATGATATTTGTCGCTGGAAAATGTTTCTAGCATGACTAAGTGCCCGCATTTGATTGGATACTCTTTATTTAAGCCCTATCTCTTGATTTTTTAGGAGAAAATAACGGTTAGCTTGCAGCAGAAGCCAGCAAACCCGTTAGATAGGTACTCATATATTATCCGTTTATGAATAAAAATAAGTTGAAAAATCCTTATTATTATCATTACTCTGTGTTGCGTCACTTTATTCCCGCTGGAAAATATTGCTAAAGTTAAGTTTTTCCACAACAAATAATTTATTGTTTGATTTATAATCTTAAAATTTGCAATATGTTAAAATTTGTATTATAATTATGTACGTAAATATGGTATATCATAAGAATTTAATTGGCATATTTGTCTGTTTTTATTGATTAGCTGAACTACATTGGAAATATTTAAAATATTTCTAAATATTTGATTAGTGCAAATATGTCAATAATTGCATTCTCTACTTAATTTTTATAAATTGAATTTTTTAAATTCTGCATCTATGGGGCGTATAACTCTTTGTTTTTATTTGAATATAAATACTTTCTGCTTGAGCTGCTACAATTTATTGTTCCACTACTTAAAATTTGGAGTTTAAGCAAAATTCATATGCAAACTTTGTAGATAAGTTGCTTATATTAACTCTTGAATAAGTTAAATGTATATATTTCTTCTGACTAAATATTCCATCTCATTGAACGTATGCATCACGCTGTGTTTCGAATGATTCGTTGTGGATGTTTCACAACAAAAGCCAACGGCAATCACTATATCCATGCGGCAATTCATTTCATTAGACTTCAAGTTTCAGTTTGCCGTATTTCTGAAACTTGCTGAGAAACTCGTCTCATTTCTTCACACCAACATATGAAACTGTTTTGCCAGTCTTGCGCAGCTGTTCCAACAGTTCGTCGGACGATAAGTTTGAGGTGACGCTTACTGTTTTTTCATCCAGATTGACGTTTACTTTTTCCACCTTATCTGTAAAATGCCAAAAACAGGAGAAGAACAAAACCGACTTAAGTTGGCAACCGCAAACAAACAAATTCCGTCTGCCTGATAAGGTTCTTCGGCGGTATTACAGTATTAATAGGTACTCAAATATGTATGTATAACAGCAGCATTAATCTCTAAATATTTTATATTAATATACGCACCACCCAATTTGCCCAAGACTCGCTCCACTGCACTGGCACAGCCGCCACACGTCATTTCCACTTTAAACTCATGCACCTAAACGGAATAGATGGAAGATTTTCCAATTAGATTGCGGCTACTTGCAGTAATTGGGATACACACACACACACACACACACACAAGTATGTATGTGCTTGTACGTACTGTCATTCTGCTGCTGCTGCTGCTTGGACGACTCGAGTCAGCCGTAGTGTGCTTATAAATTTGCGGTAAATTAAACAGCTTGAAGGCGGTATGAATTTTTGTTGCTATTTTGTAAGCGTGGCACACACAACTCTTACAAGACTTTGCAAATTAATAAACTACTTTTACTTTTGTGTTTGCGCTGTCTTTAGTCAATCGATGGAATTCGATAGTTGCCATGCCTATCGATGTATCGTTGCTTCATAATATCTGTCGGCCCTGTATGGATAATAATCGAAAAGATTTCGATATGTTGGGTGGTACAAGTCTGAATAGATGGGTGTATATTTATTATGAAACAAATGCCTTATTGATACTACTGATTTTTGCATGAAATAATTTTTAGCCAATATTATAAATTACTGCAAGTGAAATGGATATCGCATCTTACACACGTTTCGGGCATGCGCCAAATCTGTATACTACTTGATGATCATACAATTGACCCGGATTAATGATGGTCGTTGGAAAATCGGAATTATTCACAGCGTCTGGATACTTTTGGGTTTGCATAGAGAATCCGCCATGCTGAACGTAATGTGCACCATTCTTGCCAATATTGGGTATTTCGTCCCGCTCTTCATCCGGCAAATTATTTGCTGTACAGAACTGCAATCCGGGTTGATTGGTATGAACCTCCATAAAACGACCCGAACATGGATGGACTGCACGGGCCACTAACTTTACTTGATTTGGGTCTACATCGACGCAATAGTTGTTATCAAAGCCGCAGATCGGGCATCGATAAACCTGGTTTAGGCGCTTGCCCAAATTGGTTAAGGTGGAAAAATCATAAGGTGTATTACGCACTGGCATAAGCTTGCCGGTGGGTATTTGCTCCTTATCCGAATCCACAATAGAGTTGGCTCTTATCATTACCATGTGCTGGTAAAGAGTGTCCTTGCCAGTACCATGGCCGGCAAGATTGAAGTAATTTTGGTTAGATATATTGATGCAGGTGGTTGCCTTAGCACGCGCCTCGATTCTCATGCCAAAACAACCAGTTTCATTAAGCGAGAAATTAATGTTAACTGTCACCTCGCCCGGATAACCCTCATGGCCATCTGGTGAAACATGTTGCATAGTCACTCCATCCTTATGTATGCCGACCACGTCCCAGATGACGCTGTCGAAGCCCACAAAGCCACCATTCAGATGGTAGCGATCCTTAAAATTTCGGCTCACATTAACATCCTTTCCGCAAAGCTTAAAGTGACCGCGGGATATACGATTAGCAACACGTCCAACAGTTGCACCAAAATAGGATTTCTGATTGCGATAATATCCGGCGACATCATCATAGCCCAGACAAACGTCTTCCAGCTTGCCATTAAAGTCTGCAACCTTTACACTTTGTATAATGGCGCCCAGAGTCAATATTGACACAGACATGCCCTTTTCTGAACATAATGTAAAGCGTCGCACATGCTCAGTTTTCTGCGTCATGGGATTAACGGCAATGCCAAAAACATCTTCTATGACGCGTACCATCTTTGCGGCAAGAAATATTAAAAGTCTGAAAACTTTTTCTGAACTAAAATTTCGAATGTCATGAATCAAACCGAATTTTTAAAATGTAATATGTGCTAACGTAAGCTTTGTGTACCAGATTTTTCTAAGCCAACTGTATATGCAACCAAAAATTACAGATTAATTAAACATCAAAAATGCCTTAAGATTATAATTCTCGGGGTGAGCAAATAATACTGACCGAAAAAACTTTTTGAACTCGCGCCCTTCAGAAAGATGAGCACATATCGATATATAAGCTATGCATCTTTTCAACGAGCGATAACGATCTGCATTAAAAAGCAGCTGATAGTTAAATATCGAAATCTATAGCAGCTATTCAAATCATAAGGCGCAATTATTGACAATTTTAAACTTATCCCGCCTTATGACCCTAAGCCATTCTGTTGCGACTTTAAATTGTATGTTTTAACCTTTCTACCCCCGTAAAATACAATATATGTTAATATTTAAGAATTGAGCAGAGCAACCTTATGTGCATCAGTCAACATTTTATGTGATTTTTACAGGTTTTAGCAGAATGAATACCCAAAATATACTTACCATCCAATTGGAGCAGTCTCAAGAGGACGCATCAGAGCATACTGTGGTGAGTGCACTCCAAAATCAGCCGCTTGACAATTTAATAATGTATGATCCTTGTGGCATAGTCATCAAATGAATGGGAACTATTGAGGGATAACGCCTTTAGTAGCATTTCTGAACTTAAAAAAATAAAACTTTCGGTTTATAAGGAAAAACTAAATTTATATCACGAGAAATGCAAGATCAAAGATGACGTAATCCTGGCCCTTCAAACATGTTTAGAAACATATAAGAACACTAATCAGAACGACAATGATCTGATAGTTTTCTTAAAATCAAAACTGTCGGAAAGACATAAAAATTTGGAAACATTAAAGAAATCGCACCAAAATCAGATCGCTAACTATGAAGCTGCGATTAGCGAGAAAAACGACAAGATCGATATACAGGATGCTATTATAAAGCAGAAAGATAAACAAATAGTGGAGTTAGAAGCAAAACTTAAAGAGGAAAGTGATCTCTCCAATGAATATAGAAAACAGATTGCCTCATTAGAAGCAACAGAAGAAGAAAGTGACGCAAAAATGTTTGCTCAAGAAACTATAATCAGGGAAAAGGATTACCAAATCGGACTGTTCGGAACTGAGGTTGCGCCCAATTCAGAAAGAGTCAGTTCAATTCAAGATCTGGCGCGCAGTTGGACCGACATCAAATTGAGCAACGATAAATGCAGAATGCAAAACGAACGCATTCTCCACTATACGATTAATGAACTGCAAGAGACACTACGTGGTGAGGGTACATCTGAGATCAAAATAATTTCCCTGCCACGTATTGGTCCATTTAAGGTGGCCATTGAAAATGGAGCAAATGGCTCCGGCTGGATGGTCATACAGCGTCGTGTTTATAAAATGATGGACTTTAATCAAGGCTGGTTTTCCTATGTCGATGGTTTTGGTAACTTGGATGAAGATTTTTGGTTAGGCCTGGACAAGATACACGCAATGACAAAAGGTCAACTGTACGAGCTTTACATTCATCTAGTATTTTCGAATAATGAGACACGATACGCCTATTATGATAATTTTGCCATATCTGGTAAAAGTGATGATTATAAGCTGAGATCGCTTGGGAATTATTTTGGAAATGCGGGTGATGGATTACGCACACATGAGCAACATATATTCAAGACAATCAGATACGTTACAACAAACTCCGTGGAATACAATCGCTGGTGGCAGCACGAATACCCGAACTGGTAAGAAGCAATTTACTTATTAACCTTGTCTTAAATATTTTTAATTTTAGTAATCTGAACGGGGCATTCAATGAGAAAAGTGAATTTGGTGTTTGGTGGTGTAGAGGCAACGGCACTTATAAATTTCTTGAGTCCGTACAAATGTTGGTGAGGCGAAAGCAAACGTAAACATATAAAAGTCAATAAAAAATAAAATTTTCACAGTTTTGTTATATCCAAATTTTATTATATATATATATATATATATATGTATCTAAATTTATGCAACATTGTTTCAGTAGATTGAAATAAATTGAAAAATTAATGTTTTGCTTAAAATACCCTATAACCTTAATTGAAACTATACGAGTGGTCCCTGCTGGTCGATCGCCATTTACAATTGTATATGAGCATAATCTGTGCCAAGATGCTTTCCTTTATCTCAAGTAATAGCTGGACACTCTACCTCAGTAGAGAGGTGCATTTTGTGGTGCCCTGTTACCATAGTTCTAGTATAAAAGGCTAACAAGGAGTCAATATGCAACTCGGTTTAGTTAAGTTCCTAGAGTACCAGAGATGAAGTGTAGAGATCATAAATGTAATTGATTTATTTTGTTAAATTGTTCGCATGGGAAAAAGAAAACACTTGAAACACTATTTAGCTGGGTCCAATCATCTTTTCCGGACGTACCCAGTCGTCAAAATCTTTCTCTGCAATGCCAGCCTTAAGGGCCTCCTCCTTCAAGGTGGTGCCATTGTTATGGGCAGTCTTTGCTATCTCAGCAGCCTTATCATAGCCAATGTGTGGATTCAGTGCTGTCACAAGCATCAAAGATTCGTTCATTATCTTGGCTATCTTCTCTGTGTTCGGCTTAATACCAACCACACAGTTCTTAGTAAAAGTATTGCAACCATCAGCTATAATAATACTTTAGAATTTAGTAATTGACATTAAAAGAGCTCTTGGTTTTGGACACTTACATAGCAGCTTTATCGAACGTAGCACATTGGAGACGATTAGCGGCTTGAAAACATTCAGCTCAAAGTGTCCATTGGAGCCACCCACAGAGACTGCAACATGATTGCCCATTACCTGAGCACAGATCATTGTCATAGCCTCGCACTGAGTGGGATTCACTTTGCCCGGCATTATTGAGCTACCCGGCTCGTTAGCCGGCAGGGTAAGCTCGCCCAGGCCACAGCGTGGACCCGAGCCCAAAAATCGAATGTCATTGGCTATCTTCATTAGGCTGACAGCGATGGTGTTTAATGCGCCATGCACCTCGACCATGGCATCCCTAGAGCCCAAGGCCTCAAAAAAGTTCGGAGCACTAACAAATGGTAAAGATGTCAGCTGTGCAATGCGCATGGCGGCCTTCTCTGCAAATCCCTTGCGGGTATTTAGGCCGGTGCCTACGGCAGTGCCACCCAGAGCAAGCTGATAGACATGGGGCAGGACCGCATCAATCCTTTCCAGACCATTTGTTAACTGCTGTGTATACCCGCTAAACTCTTGTCCCAATGTTAGCGGCACAGCGTCTTGTGTATGTGTACGTCCAATTTTGATAATGTCCTTCCACTCAATGGATTTGGCCCTGAGAGCGTCGCGCAACTGGGTGATCGCCGGCTTAAGGCTTCTGGTCAGCTCAGTGGCCACAGAGATATGTATCGCCGTTGGAAACGTGTCATTGGAGCTCTGAGATTTATTCACATGGTCATTGGGATGTACGGGATTCTTTGAACCCAGCTCGCCACCCAAAATCTCAATGGCGCGATTGCTAATCACCTCGTTGACATTCATATTTGTCATTGTGCCTGAGCCAGTTTGCCATATGGGCAACGGAAAATGGCCTTCATCGAATAGTTTTCCAGAGATCACCTCATCGCAAACACCTGAAATCGCTGTGCTCACCTTGCTGTCCAGCCCAAACTCCTGGTTAACCTCGGCGGCGGCCTTCTTTAATATGCCCATGGCCTGTATTATAGGCTTCTGTAAGGGTCAAGTGTTACCAAATTTAATTAAACCAAATTTGAATTAATGCCGCTCTTTATAATTACCGGCATGCGTTCATCCATACCGCCAATGGGAAAATTGTTTACGCAACGCATAGTCTGGGCGCCAAAGTAACGATCAGCGGGCACATCTATATTGCCAATCGTGTCATTCTCGGATCGCATAGGCGGCTTGGCCGAAGGCTGCAGGCTCAATTTTTTCTCCATTTGCACACCTTTCCAATTATAATACCAATTACAAAATGTATATATGTATAAAAATACAGTATATGAAACAGACGACTTCAAATATGCCTATAAAATTATAGAGCAAAGCCTCCCTATGCTCTAACGGTTGCTTTGTTAAGCAGCATACTAAAATAAATTTCAAAATAATTGTTTAGTTGAAACCCCAAAAAAAATGATGGTGATACAATCTACGTTTCGCATCAACTAACAGCCTTTGTCTGATTCGTGTATCAGATTTTACACATCCTTGAACCCAAGCTTTGGATCAAGCATTTGTTACTCATATAATTTCATTAATTAAATGGATCAATTCCATTTTATTCATATAGTGGCCCGTTCTAGTTAAAATATTAAAAGCCGATGATATATTCATAATGAAATTGAGGGCTAGGCTTAAGATCTACCACAGTTGGTTGGGTCTAAATCATTTTTGAATAATGTAAATAATGTAAATAAATTAAGAATGTACTTTATTGGCTCATACGAATATTTACCTACGTGTGGTAATTTTTAATTGGGTCCCAACATATTATTAACCTGCACCCACGAATCAAAGTCGGTACTGGAGATGCCTTTTTTAAAGGCCTCCTGCTTCAGAGTGGTTCCATTGGTGTATGCAGCGTTGGCTATTTCCGATGCCCTGTCGTAGCCAATGTAAGGATTAAGTGCTGTTGCCAGCATGAGGGATTCGTTCAACGCTTTATTTATTTTGCCAGTATTTGCCTTGGTACCTTGTAAGCAGTTGGTGGTGAATGCCCTGAGGCCATCGCTAAGCAATGCAATGGAACGCAGCACATTTGAAGCGATAAGTGGCATGAAGGCATTCAACTCAAAGTGTCCATTGGAGCCACCGATGGTCACAGCCACCTGGTTGCCCATTACCTGGGCACATATCATTGTGATTGCCTCGCATTGTGTGGGATTAATTTTGCCCGGCATTATCGAGCTTCCTGGTTCGTTCTCCGGTAAAATTAGCTCTCCCAAGCCACAGCGTGGTCCGGAGCCCAAAAATCTTATGTCATTAGCAATCTTCATGGTGCTGACAGCTATAGAATTGAGCTCGCCATGCACTTCGACCAAGGCATCCCGTGAGCTGAGTGCCTCAAAAAAATTGGGTGCAGGCACGAATGGCAAGCCAGTGATATCCGCAATACGCTTGGCACATTGAGGCCCAAAGTCATCGTTGCCCATTAGACCTGTACCCACGGTAGCGCCACCAAGAGACAGCTGGTACAGTCGCTTCATTGATGAGTACAGTCTTGTGTTGCAGTTGGCCATCATTTGCTTGTAGCCGCTAAATTCTTGGCCTAGTGTCAATGGCCCTGCATCCATGAGATTTGCGCGGCCGGTCTTGACGATAGCCTTCCATTCATCTTCCTTCTCTTCCAAGGCCTGAATAATCAGCCGTAGTGATGGATATAGCCTCTCCTTTAGCTGCATGGCTACGGCAATATTAATGGCAGAAGAGAAGCAGTCATTGGAGCTCTGAGACATATTGACATGCAGGATCGGATCTACTGGATCCTTGCTGCCCACCTGACCACCCATTATTTCAATGGCGCGATTACTGATCACCTCGTTGACATTCATGTTGGTTGACTTGCCCGAGCCTGCCTGCCAGATGACCAATGGGAAGTGATGCTCATCATATAACTTGCCGGATATAACTTCATCAGTAGCTTTTAAAATGGCCTCACAGATTTTGACTTCCAATCCGAAATCCCTGTTAACCTCAGCGCCGGCTTTCTTCAATATGCCCATGGCTACAATAATGGGACGCTGTTGGGAAGTGCTGGCATCAGCTCTGATTCCATCAATGAGCAGCAGCTACTTACCGGCATGAGCTCTTCCATGCCACCTATTGGAAAATTCATAGCTGCACGCATTGTCTGTGGTCCAAACATGCGGTCCAGGGGCACGTTTACCGCACCCATCGTATCGTATTCGACGCGTGTATCCGGTCCTGTTAGACGGGCTAGCTTGTACATGAGACTGAACATTTCCTTCTGGTCGAACGACATCCTGAAATCTAACAAATATGAGAGTCTAGCACTGCGAGTACGTTGTGAAGAAAGACGGAAGCAATTGTGAACACAGGCTACTAGGATCAGTAATCCTGTGCTTGAAATAAAACGAGGATTTGGGCTCGAATTACTGATCACAAAATTGATATATTACCCAAGCCAAAGGCCAGTCCTGTTTAAAAAATTACCTGTCTTTACGAGGATTGGGATTAGGTATCAAATAAGTGAAATGTTCTTAATCAATAATATAATATGCTAAATAATGAAAATAGAACTAGATATCGAAAAACGATGAAATCTTACTGCTATTGTAGTTTTGTTTTGTAGTTTCCAAAATTTACACTTTCATAAGGAATACATTTACCCTATCAGATCGGATGCTTATGATAAAATAAACAATTATATAATACGAACTACCTATAAAACTGTCAGCTTTTATTGGATGATCATTTGTTATTACAACAGCATTTCCAGGACTCTTCTACATTAAACTTGTAAATGACCTCATGCAAGTATTTCTCGCCTGGCTGGAGGAAGATAGACGAAAACTCTGGATGATGCTGGTTCAGGGCGTCGGGAAATTTTTCGGTTTCTACGCAAAATGATCCATGCTTGCGATAATGAGTACATTCCTTTCCAATCATTGGGGCATCACCGTTCTCCTCGTCCGGCAAATTGTTGGCCGTGTAAAATTGCAGACCCGGCTGATTAGAATAAATTTCCATGGCTCGGCCGCTAGGTGGATGCACTAGCTTGCCTACCAAGTTAATGCCAGTATCGTTGCCCTCGTTAACCACAAAACAGTTGTCGTAGCCCTTGATCAGACGATTGTCGAACTGCTTGAGACGATCGCCCAGTAGCACTGGCAGGCGCATATCAAAGACCGTATCGTCGACATCCAAGAATTTACCGGTCGGAATTTGATCATCATCCGTGTCGATAATCCTTGTCGATGCTATCTCTACAGTGTGCTCGGCCAGTCCTTTGGCCCCAGTGGCGTGACCAGCCAAATTGAAGTATGCATGATTGGACAAGTTGACAGGAGTCATTTTGTCCGTAAAAGCCTCGTAACGAACACCCAGACGGTTCTGATTATCCAGCCAGTACGTGATCGTTGTCGTTAAATTACCTGGATAACCTTCGTGACCATCGGGTGACACATGCCTGAAGGTGATACCCAAATCGGACTTGCGCACCACCTCCCAAATGACGCTATCGAAACCAACGAATCCGCCATGCAGCTGATATGTATTCTTAAAGTTTTTGGTCAGCTCATACTTGGTCTCACCTACGGTGTACTCGCCATTGGCCACACGATTCGCTACGCGGCCCAATGTGCCGCCAATGTATGCCGCTTTGGTATTGACATAACTGGCAATGTCATCAAAGCCAAGGCACACATCCTCGATCTTTTGATAGGCATCAGGCATACGTACACTCTGAATAATGGCGCCCAATTGTATAACCGAAACAGACATCTGATTTGTATTGGTCATTGTAAAACGTCGCACCATTTCGGGTATCTTGGTGAAGGGATTCTTGGCCAGACCAAAGATTTCCTCCTCAATTTTGACAGACATATTGCGGCTGTTGATGTTGGTTACCTAGTTTAGCTGACAAAATTTTATAGGTTCTCACTCAAACAACAATATTATAACAATTAATGCTAGGCAGCCTGACACACCTCTTCTTATTGTACTTGAAAAACGTTAAGGTCGCGCGCTGTTATCGCAAAGTCAAAAAGGGCAATAGATGCAGCTCTCCCGGCGCTCAACAAACTGATGCATTTCTAAAATGCCAGCGGGTTTTATTATTGAACAGCGACGTTTGCTGATAGCACATGTAGATGTATGTGTCTATACGAGTTGTATTAGGTAACTCAGTTGAGAGAGAGATTCATGAGCACACACCTATATATCATAAGACATAACGACATACTTATATGTATGTGTACATTTTACATATCGCATCCATCCTACAATTGTAGGAAGCTTAGGTTCGTATTCCGTTTCTAATTTGACGGTACTACAACTTTTGTTTGAAATTGTCAGTTTATATGGCAAGCATAAAATCGTATTATCTTAAATAGGCACTATAGCGCCATATATAGTAGTATATTTACACAATTCCAATAACAAAAAGTTAAAAGCCACAAACTGCTCAGTCTATTATCTATTAATAGTATGTACACAGGCTCATATAGCGATAAGCCCACCTGTCCGGCCGTAAATATTTACATGCATTTATCTAAGCGAATTTTAGTACTTATTTATATTAAACAAACGAACTCCATGGAACTGCGGTAGCTTTGGCAGCGTGACTACAACCAAGGATATAAAATTTGCAATGAAATGTTCCGTGCTGTTGCGCGTATACAAACAAGTTAACAGAAAGCTGCAAGTAACAATATTCTATGAGAAATTCTCACTAAATAGTATACAAATGCAGACTTACAGTACAATTGGCACTGCGGTTAGAAATTTGCGTGTTGGAGTCAGTTGAACGCCGTCATCTATTTGCTCCCAGTGGGTCCATTGCCGACTAGCGTCATTTTCGATGCTCAGCCAAGGTGCACCTTTTATAATATGCAGAAAATATAAGTGTGCCTAGCAGTGGATAATTAGTATTATTTGTAATAGCAGGTTGTGTATATTTTTCGGGGCACTTATATGTATACTCACTACGTTATGCAGCAAATTGGTTGCCGTCCAGGCGACTGAAATCGTAACAAAGGGCACTGATAAGAGCAGCAAATGCACAAACAGCAGTCCCAAAAAATATGCAAGCCAGAAGCCACGGGCGCTTAGCCAAGAGCTGTTCGGATTCGTTTCGCCATGTCCACCAGCTATGGATGTCATTTTTACATGAAGTAGTATTGTTGGCGCTGTGAAAGTCTTAATTGTTGTAGACAATAGAGATGAGCGGAATATATAAAGTGCGATCAGGTAATAATATCACTGTGACTATCGAAACGCAACATTGCCCATCGATAATACATACAGAACATACACTTATGATCTAGTTCAGTTCAGAAAAACAATTTACCATTAATGGCCAATTTTGCGAAGTCGCGTTTGTTTTTCTCACAGATACAAGAAGCATACGTGCAAAAGCTGTTTTTAAAGTATAATTGTAATTTATTATGCAATGGTTATTGTGATTTGTTGCAGTATGTCATCTTAAGATTCTGAAGGAACTAGCTTACCAAGCATTACAATGAGCGGAAGCCATTTGAAAACAGGTAAGTTTTTTCTTGTCTTCTCGGTGTAACAAATTTACATATGTTAAAATTGAATTGCCATACCAACAGCCGGATATGGCAGCCACACAGCCGTGGTAATGCCCATACCTAGCATTGAAGAGAAAAACAAGCAAATGCAGCAGGAGACGATGATGGAGAAGCTACGAGCCAAATACCGGAACAAGCCGAAAAGCTACGAGGACATCAAAAAGTCGGTGCGCATGTACTTCATAGAGAAGCATTATCCAATGGATCCCCTCTGCAAAGCAGCGCTGCAGTCGGCACTGGACAAACTGCAGCACTATATCAAAGTAACATCCCGGCACGGACTCGTAGAGCGTTTAGAGAGTCTGTCCCGCCAGCTGGGCCTAAAATTCATGGAGGATCAGCAAATGTTATTCATTTCCACGGACATGTTCTACGTAGAGATACTGTTGGATGCCAGTGGTAAACTCAGTGATGTCAAGGTACACCACGAGTGCAAAATTGAGCAGCAATCAAATTCCAGCGCCAGTTCCCGAGAGCTGCTCAACTGCCTCAAGGCGGGCGACTTTGCCGACTTCACGGTGCAGCTTGAGGGCCTATCCTCCATTTACCAGCTAAACGCGGAGCCTAAAGTCAAAAAGAAGGCCTTCGTGGCTTTGCAGGCCATGGAAACGGACATTTTCAATCTCTATCAGCAGCAGCTACAGCAGCAGATCAGTGGCAGCAGCGATAGCTACTACATTATGAATAAATCCTCGGTGGGCTTAGTCCTGCAGCGACGCGGTGGACATCCAATGAAGCTGACCTACTTCTGTCCGCCTCTGCACCTCATTGAGACGAAGACAAAAGGGGAAAAGGTGGCCGCTGTAACTGGAAGTGGAACTGCGAGCAGGGACTTTAGCATTGAGCAGGTGATGAAGAGTCCTAACGGACTAAGCGTGACTCTTAATCTCGAGGCCTCCTCCGCGAACAAGCTGCAAATCCTGCCGATTCTAAGCTTCACTAGCGAGTCGGGGCTGCCACTAGAGCAACCCGGCTATGCGCCGCTTACGCAGAACAACTCAATGCTGATGCCGGCTACCTATGTCCTGCGCCTTAGCAAACCCATGCCCGTTTGCGTTGAGTCTCTGCGTGCTTTGTCTCTGCCGGGCCTGTCGGGCCTTTCAAGCGAGGGAACGATGACTGTCATGAATCTGATCGTGCAAACGGCCTCCAGGCAGGTGATAAAGGGCACCCAGAAAGGCTTGTATGTTAATTTGCCAAAGGAGACACACTGCTACTTCTTCACGGACAACCGCCGACTGAAGGGCACTCTGATATCGTCGCTGCCATTCACGGAGCCTGCGCAGGTGCCTAAGATAATCGCGTTCCTTAAGAAACAGGCGCTCTTCTACACGCTTCTCTCCAGTTGCGTCAGGGAGCAGCAGAAGCAATACAACGGTAAGTATAAAACATATCGAAACTCGAGAGTTAAAAGAAATATACAAAAACAATCTGAATTCGTTTCAGACATGGATAGCACTGTTATTTTGGAGGTCACTGCTGTTTCGCTCAATCAGATCACTGTGGAACTGCAGCATCCGTACGAGGAGTCGCTGGCCACTGTCGACTTTTTGCTTGAGGACGGCCAGGCGACCTGCACTATTTACTGCCTCAGCAACGACTACGAAGCACTCTCTCAGAAGCTGACCCGAACAGTGCGCCAGGTTCTCTCCATACCGATGGTTATATACAAGTTGCTTAAGTGCTGGGATGAGGAGCATCAACAAAAGTTGCATGGCGCTATCGCCCCAGGAGCAGGCAGCGGGACAGCAGGTGGTTTCAGTAGCGCTGGTGGAGGCGGTGTTGGAGGTGGAGCGATGCACGGAGCAAGCAACTTCGGACAGTTTGCCATGGAAACGGGTGCAGGCGAATGCAGCAGTGGAGCTAGCGGCGGCTTCAATAGTGTTAGCAATCTCAAAATAGACTCCAAGGTACGATCCCTAGCAGATGCATTCGCTGCATCAACATCGGCGGCTGCGGCCATTGCTGGACTTATGAATTTGAAGCGGGAAACGGATCCTCAAGCTGCCGAAGGCAGTAATCCCATCCTCACCCCCAGCTCTGTCACAGCATCCAAGGCTAGCGACAATGAGATCGCCGACAAGTACAAGAACATATGGAAGGACAAGACGCCCAACCTGAAGCATTGCGTCAGCATCACGCCCATTGCCGGCGATGGCAAGTCCCCTCTACAGCAGCAGGTGGATGTGCAGCGCACGGGAGGCATTGAGATCATACCACTGAATGCACCGGCCAGCGTGGGAGCCACGCCCAGCACAGAGTCCCCAGCCACCACAATCACCATAACGCCCATCACTGGAGTTAGCAAAGAGGGGAGCAAGGAGGCGAAAAAGCAAGTAATGAGTGGACCCGGAAGTGCCACTAAGCGGCCCCATGAGAGCAGCTCCTCTTTGTCTGCCTCCTCGAACTCGAGCAACAGTAGCAACAGCAGCTCCTCCAGCGACACGCAGAAGGAAAAGAAGCGCAAGAAGAAGCGAGATGACTCGCCCATGGGCCCTCCCGAGAAGGTATACTCACGCCAGAACTCGCCTGCGGGTGGTGGCATGGCGGATGCCACGGCAGGGAGCGGAGTTGTGCGCAAGTTCTCTTCGCCTTCAACTTCATCTTCCGGAACTGGAGCTGTTTTGGCCCTTATGTCCGGCCAGCCATCGGCGCGCCCCAGTCCGAAGCACTCGCCTGTCTACAGCAGTCCCAAGCACAACAGCAACAGTAACACCGCCTCGAACAGCCCGAAGTCGCCTTTCGGAACTCTCTCGCCCAAACATGGATCCTCCGGGAAGCCGAGCATGTCCACTCTGAAAAGTGCGACGGCGGCCACCAGCCTCAGCCTCAGTCCCAAGGCTGAAAAGTCAAATACAGCAGGTGCCGGGGGTGGTTCCCTTTCTCTGGCAAGTGCTGGCTCCGCCTTAAGCTCGAGTGCTAATCCTTCAATGATGCGGCCTGTGCCACCGCTGGCCAGCAGCAGCAGCCAGTTGCCCGCGGCCATAAAAAAGGACAAGCAAATCGCTAGCAGCTCACCATCTGGTCCCCCACCGGGGGTCGCAGCTGCGGTAGCCGCACTCAAGAGCTCCCAGCAGCAGCAGCAACTGAAGTCAACCGTGGCTAGTCTATCTCATCTGGCTGCGGGTGGGAATCTGAGCAGCTATGTGGCTCCAGCCGTGGCCGCCTTGGAGCTGAATGCACTGCGCAAGGGAATGGCGGGAGCGGGAGTGGGACCGGGATTGGGCGCAGCTGCGGGAGCGGTAGGTGCGGTAAGTCCGTTTTCAATTTATGAGTAGCTCTCGTTGTTTACCCACCTCCGCTTCCCACTGCACCTCTAACCCACAGTTGATTCTTTGTTTCTATTTTTGCATACAACTAAAACATGAACTTTAAAACTTATATTTGAATGCGACATATATAATGAATTATTGTAATAACTTATATACATTAATACTAGCGGGTAACTAGCTTTGCGCTGTCGAAGATGTTACTTTAAATTTAGAATCTCTTAAGATCGATTGGATAATAACAAGACGTTGCAATCAATAGTTTTTTTTTCCTTAGGGTGGAAATTCCAAATGCGCTGAAACACGTGTGCATTTTTCTTCTATGGTGGACTTTAATAAAAATGTTAAAAGCTGATCGGACCAAGCCTTCAAGCCATAGAGGGGTTGTTTTTCGAAAACCGCAAAGCACCTCTTCAATCAATTTTCACATTAGTTCTGTAAAATCCGTTGGTAAATATAGATCGGACAAAAAGCATAATATTTGTATTCAACAATTCTCGCTCATTTTCTGAGCTCGCCGAAAAGTGCTTCATCAATTAGTTGTTGTGTAGATGTTTCATAGCAATTCTGCTGCTGATCGATTTTAAAAAATATTAATCCACGCCTATTTTCAGTTGAAGTAGTTTCCAAAGAAAATTCAAGTATTATTCATCGATACATTAATTTTTATGAACAGGTATGAAAAGCTTAAAACCGTAAAATCATTGCCCACACAAGCTTCCACCCTAATTTTCCTCAGGGGAATGCTTTTTTTGAGATTGATCTCTATCATAATTTGAACAATTTTTCACAGTTGCAGGTGGAATTTTGCTTAGCTCCGTCAACAGTAAAACATGTTAGCTTCCTAATTAGTTAGTCAAGACAAAAGTCAAATATATAATTATTATCGCTGATGTAGTATTAGTTGATTTACCGTATGCTCTGTTTGTAAATATGTTTATTTGTATAGTCTATTTTCTAACTGCATCCGTTTTATTTGATCCTGTCATTTTTGTAATGCGTTCTATTTTGTTTGGTATCAAATAAATATAATACGTAGATCCTCTGCACCTTGCACGATTTTGTTACTATTTCAAGCATTCGGATGATTCTTTTTCACGTGGAATGTGCTTTAACTCTTGATTTATTTGACACCTTCTCTTTCTTTGCTTTTCTTATAAAGGGTTTATGGAACCATTAATTAACTTTATACTAACGAGTTTCTCTTCTCTCCCGCTCTCTCTTGAACACTCGCTGCTCCGTTCGCATGACCCGGGATATGATTAACAATCGCCACTGTGCCACTTTTTGACACGTTCTGCCTTTGATTGCTTTAATTTGCTTTCTTGGTTCGTTTTTCATTTGTTTGTCTCCGCATACACTCACACACACGTACACTTACATGCACACCACCACGCGCTTCCTTTGTCAGGCTAGTTTGATGACGTCGACGGCAGCTTCGACGACAATCATCCAAACCACAACAACAACAGCAGCAACAACTCTAGCGGATTCATCGGGCACAGCAGTATCAGCAACATTAGCAGTGGAAACGGGAATGGGAACATCAATTGCAACAATAACACAGCAGCAGCCGCAGGGACCAGCGCCACATAGTAGCGACAACTGCAGCTCCAGCTCCACTAGCAGCAGCTCCATTGCGGGAGCCGCCTCTGACCTCTCCACTGGGTACATGGTGAAGCCGAGCAGCCAAGAGGGCCTCAAACTGACCATCAATAAAACGGGCAGCGGAAAGAGAGAGAGCAAGGGGGTACCAACCGGCTCCTCGTCGTCGTCGTCCTCGACTAGCAGCAAGAAGCAGCACACGGGATTGAAGCCAGGCGTTAACAGCGGACCGGCTTCAAAGAAGGCGCTTTCATCAGCTTCAGGCACAGGGTCAAGCAGTTCCAGCAAACACCTTTTCCAAAAGGCCAATTCTTCCGGCAATCTAAGTAGCAAACTAGGCGGCTCCTCCACTTCAGGCGGTGGCTTGCCGTTGACCAAGAGCAATAGCACCAACTCCTTCCAGGAACAAAGTGTACCCAAGCGCCGACCCAGCATGTGCAGCCCGGGTAACACTAGCGGAGGCGGAGTGCAGCGCAAATCATCGCTAACGGCATCTGGATCGGCGTCGGGCTCTGGCTCAGGACCAGGATTGGGGGCAGGAAGAATGTCACCAGCAGCGTTGACCGGGTCGATGTCACAGCCGCCACCGCGCTTCGATCACCACACGGACATGATGACCATTCTACAATACGCTTCGCCCACTATGGCAGCCAGTATGGAGGGCTTTATCAAGAGACTGCATAACAGGTTTCAGATACCTAAATTGTCTCAGCGACCAAGTGGAAACAGCGTCGCAACTGGACACACTGCAGAGCAGGCGTCAACAACAGCAGCATCCTCCTCCTCAGTCGCATCCACGTCCTCCTCGCAGGAGCAGCAGCAGCTTAACGCAGACTTGAGTGTTCTGGCATCCAGCCTAACAGCTACGCCCAGTAGCAGCAGTGGAGCGCAGAAGCCATCGACAGCTCCTTCCCCTGCTACAAGCGATATGCTACTCAACTTGAGCAGCAGTGGGACAGTTGGTGATGGCATCGACGAGGAGCTGCTCGCCAGCCTGGCAGGCGAATGACATCTTGAGCTGCATCTGCAACTCGCTGCAATCTCAACTTAGTTCAATTAATGTGTTAAAGGCCTTTGGCTGGACTCTGACTGTGAGCTGTTCTTTCTTTTTAACTTGTCAAATAGGATAAGAAAAATATATTAACAATAAATATTTAATACACATACATATATGTGCATGAATATCTGAAAATTTGATTTTTGAAAAATTACATCTGCAAATATGGAAAACTGATCAATATATTGTTTAGCTTCCGAATTAGGCTTATGCGTAGTGAAAATCCATATGGACAAATATTTCACATATTTTGCTAAATGCATCTTGATAAAAAGAAGGCCCAAAGTTGTGTAGATAAATATTAATTTGCATCTCATCGGATCCAGTCATTGAACTTTTGAAAATTAAGGAAGGGTAAATTGGTATTAAAGAAAAAGTGTGTTAAATATATCCAACTCCACCCGTCTGTCTGTTAAGAAAGTTTGGGGCTGAGTAGAAAACAACAACAAAAACAACAGTATCCGAATTCCGCCTCATTTTCTCTCTCTCTCTCTCTCTCTTAACGATGTTGCACTCTCTGAGTAGGATTAATAAATATATGAAACAAAAACAACCCACCATTCTCTCTACTGTACACGCATTTTTATCGCAAAGATCTCACTGCAACGCTCGTATGTTATGCGATTAAAATATATACTACTCGTTTTCTGCTCACATACGAGCTCATTTGTGAGCATTTTGGTCTGCTGGAATGTGAGATTATTTATATTTGTGCGTTTCATATATCATATACATATGTATGTGTACGTTTCTATATACATATATGTGCATTCATGTCGTGTGCCAATTGCAGGCCAAGAACCCTTAATAAAAACGAGAAAGAAGGGCTATCTTCGGTACGCCGAAGATCTAATACCCTTGCATACCCAACCTTTTCATAATGCTCATAGTGCTTTTCCCGTAGGATTTTGCTTATACATATATAAGGAGTATAGTAGAACTAATAAATACCGAGTTTGGTCAAGATATGTTGATAAACCAAATGTTGTTTGATTCAAAAACTTAATTTTCAACCGATCGTTCATATGGCAGCTATATGATATAATGGTCCGATCCAGATTTTTTTGTCATATGTGCTGCGTGGAACAGAAATAGGGACTTCTGCAAAAATTCATTAAGATAGCTTTAAAACTGACAGACTATTTCGCATAGAAACAGACAGACGGACATGGCTATATCGACTCGGCTATTGATGCTTATCAAGAATATATATACTTTATGGGGTCGGAGATGTCTCCTTGTATGCGTTAAACATTTCACGACCAAATTATAATAACATCTGCAAGGGTATAAAAACATTCATTTGCCCTTCTATTTGGACAAGGACGTGCGATCCCTCATGCATTCGTCTTTCATTCCAATCTTTCTCTTTCCAGCTCTTAGCCAAAGCCGCTCTTTGATTACTACTACAATTTAGAGCAGTAACAGAAAATCAGAAATAGAAATACAGTCAAGTCCGCAAATTGATTCACAATATACTGTGGTCGATAAATTTCAGAGGTATTGATATAGAGTTACTAAACTATCGAATCAGATTGATGAACAAAGCGATTATTTAATGTTTAATGTGTGTTCTTAGCTTTGGTAACACTTAAATGCAAGTGCGCAACATGTGGTATTTTTTTCATGTTCAGTTGAAAAACCTTATTTGTGGTTTGTGGTTCAACCGCTGAGTGAGCCGGAGAATATCAAGAAATAAAATGTTAAGCAACTACGAGGGATACAAGTCGCCGTTGAGCACACGCTATGCCAGCAAGGAGATGCAGTTTCTGTTCAGTGATCAGAACAAGTTCTCGACCTGGCGGCAGCTGTGGGTTTGGCTAGCAAGGGCAGAGCATACGCTTGGGTTAGACATTACCGAGGAACAAATAGCACAAATGGAGCTGCACATTAAGGACATTGATTTCGAGGCAGCGGCTGCCGAGGAGCGTCTCACGAGGCACGATGTTATGGCGCACGTGCACGTCTTTGCCAAGCAGTGCCCGGCGGCAGCACCAGTCATTCACCTGGGTGCTACTTCATGCTATGTGGGCGACAACACGGATCTCATTGTGCTGCGCGATGCATTGCAGCTACTATTGCCACGCGTGGCAACAGTTGTGGGGTGCCTTCAGCAGTTTGCCGAGACTTATAGAGCCCTCCCGACACTGGGCTTCACGCATCTGCAGCCGGCGCAACTGACTACAGTTGGTAAACGCGCCTGTCTGTGGATTCAGGACCTACTAATGGACGAACGTGCTTTGGGTCGCTGTCTCGAGGATCTGCGCTTTCGCGGCGTAAAGGGAACCACCGGTACGCAGGCTTCTTTCATGGAGCTCTTTAATGGAGATAGCCAAAAGGTGAAACAGCTGGACTCGCTGGTCACTAAGCTGGCAGGCTTTAGCAAGCCCTATGCCGTCACCGGGCAGACATATACACGCAAAGTGGACGTCGAGGTGATGGGTGCCCTGGCCAGCCTGGGAAGCAGCATACACAAAATGTGCTCTGATTTGCGCATACTCGCCTCGCGCAAGGAGATCGAAGAGCCTTTCGAGAGCACACAGATTGGCTCGTCTGCGATGCCATATAAACGCAACCCGATGCGTTCGGAACGCTGCTGTGCCCTGGCTCGCCATCTGATTACATTGTTCAGCAATGCGGCGAATACGCACGCCACGCAGTGGCTGGAGCGCACTCTGGATGACTCAGCTAACAGGCGGTTAACGTTGTCGGAAGGCTTCTTGTCTGCTGATGCGGCTCTGCTTACGCTTCTTAATATTACCCAAGGACTGGTGGTATATCCGAAGGTCATTGAGAGACACATTGCTCAGGAGCTACCATTCATGTCCACGGAGAATATTATCATGGCAATGGTAAAAGCCGGTGGCGATCGCCAGGTGTGCCACGAAAAGATACGTATTCTCTCCCAAGAGGCCGGTGCTCAGGTCAAGCAGCTTGGCAAAGACAACGATCTGGTGGAGCGCGTACGCAACGACTCATACTTTGCGCCTATTCTGGATCAACTGGACCACATTCTGGATGCACGCACTTTTACTGGCCGTGCCAGCGAGCAGGTGGGTGAGTTCATTGCCGAGGAGGTGACGCCCGTGCTAGCCCGCTACAGCGACGCCCTCAAGAGTGTCCAGAATGTACAGCTAAATATCTAAAAATAATTGTTCGAACATTTTTGTAATCTTATAAGCTCAAAGCTATTAAATACATTTACGCATTTTGTTACGACGTACATATTCCAATACTACTGTACAAAGTTATCTATTTTGTCATGGAATGTGGAACATATAGAAGACATCTCCAAGCCAATAAAGTATGTATATTTATATCCCTGATCCGTATCAACAGTCCAGTCAATAGAACGGAGAGCTTCAGTCTTCTCACATATATGCAAATCCGTACGATGTGTGTATAAAGGGTATTTGTTTTTCTTGTTTATTATTTTCATGTGTTTTTGAATGCAACCGCCCCACACTTCTGAAGCACTTCATTGCGGTTATCGCTGCAATTCTCTGACCCCTGGACCCCCAATGCGATTCTTATTTATTTCGCGTGTCTGACGTACTAATGTAATTGAGAGCTAAAAACCACAAGCCTCCAACAGTTAACATCGCCTAGATTCGTAAGCCGCATCAGATAAGACCTACATTTGTTGTCAACATTTTCCAAGTGCAAAACACAAGAAAATATATTTTTTTGTCTATTAAAATTTCGTATTATTATTGTTTGCTTTTATCATAGTTATATTTGATTTTATAGATGTAATATATTTAAATTAATACAGAATTTCTTTCAGTTAAGGCAGCAGCTTTATAAACCCATTTAATATTTACACCTTACACTATTAACGAACAGCTTCTCGTCATTGTTTAGCCGAAGGCCTTTAACACATCAATTGAACTAAGTTGGGATTGCTGAGAGTGGCGGGTGCAGTTCGAAATGTCATTCGCCTGCCAAGCTGGCGAGCAGCTCCTCGTCGATGCCATCAGCACCTGCACCAACTGCCTCACTGCTGCTTAAGTTGAGTAGCATATCGCTTGTAGCTGGGGAATGAGGTGTCGATGGATTCTGCGCTCCACTGCTGCTACTGGGCGTAGCTGTTAGGCTGGATGCCAGAGCACTCAAGTCTGCATTAAGCTGTTGTTGCTCCTGCGATGAGGTTATAGATATCGATGCGGATGAGGAGGAAGATGCTGTTGCTGACGGCTGCTCTGATGGGCTAGCAGTGTGTCCAGCTACGCCGCTGTTGCCACTAGGTCGCTGAGACAATTTGGGTATCTGAAACTTGTTTTGCATTCCCTTGATGAAGCCCTCCATACTGGCTGCCATAGTGGGCGAAGCGTATTGTAGAATGGTCATCATGTCCGTGTGATGATCGAAGCGCGGTGGCGGCTGTGACATCGACCCGGTCAACGCTGCTGGTGACATTCTTCCTGCCCCCAATCCTGGTCCTGAGCCAGACGCCGATCCAGATGCCGTTAGCGATGACTTGCGCTGCACTCCGCCTCCACTAGTGTTACCCGGGCTGCACATGCTGGGTCGGCGCTTGGGTACACTTTGTTCCTGGAAGGAGTTGGTGCTATTGCTCTTGGTCAACGGCAAGCCACCGCCTGAAGTGGAGGAGCCGCCTAGTTTGCTACTTAGATTGCCGGAAGAATTGGCCTTTTGGAAAAGGTGTTTGCTGGAACTGCTTGACCCTGTGCCTGAAGCTGATGAAAGCGCCTTCTTTGAAGCCGGTCCGCTGTTAACGCCTGGCTTCAATCCCGTGTGCTGCTTCTTGCTGCTAGTCGAGGACGACGACGACGAGGAGCCGGTTGGTACCCCCTTGCTCTCTCTCTTTCCGCTGCCCGTTTTATTGATGGTCAGTTTGAGGCCCTCTTGGCTGCTCGGCTTCACCATGTACCCAGTGGAGAGGTCAGAGGCGGCTCCCGCAATGGAGCTGCTGCTAGTGGAGCTGGAGCTGCAGTTGTCGCTACTATGTGGCGCTGGTCCCTGCGGCTGCTGCTGTGTTATTGTTGCACTTGATGTTCCCATTCCCGTTTCCACTGCTAATGTTGCTGATACTGCTGTGCCCGATGAATCCGCTAGAGTTGTTGCTGCTGTTGTTGTTGTGGTTTGGATGATTGTCGTCGAAGCTGCCGTCGACGTCATCAAACTAGCCTGACAAAGGAAGCGCGTGGTGGTGTGCATGTAAGTGTACGTGTGTGTGAGTGTATGCGGAGACAAACAAATGAAAAACGAACCAAGAAAGCAAATTAAAGCAATCAAAGGCAGAACGTGTCAAAAAGTGGCACAGTGGCGATTGTTAATCATATCCCGGGTCATGCGAACGGAGCAGCGAGTGTTCAAGAGAGAGCGGGAGAGAAGAGAAACTCGTTAGTATAAAGTTTATTAATGGTTCCATAAGCCCTTTATAAGAAATGCAAAGAGAAGGTGTCAAATAAACCAAGAGTTGTTTTAAAGCACATTCCACGTGAAAAAGAATCATCTGAATGCTTGAAATAGTAACAAAATCGTGCAATGTTCAGAGGATCTACTTATTATACTTATTTGATATCAAACTAGGGATCACAAACAAAATAGAACCCATCACAGGAATAACAAGATCAAATAAAACGGATGCAGTTAGAAAATAGACTATACAAGTAAATATATTTACAAACAGAACATACGGTAAATCAAATCAGAAACTACAGCAGTCATAAGTTATAATAATAATTATATAAATTAATTATTACAATTCATTTAACATTTCGCATTCAAATCAACGTTTTAGTAAAAATTTTTGTTATATGCAAAAGTAGAAACAAGGAATCAACTTTGGATTAGAGGTGCAGTTGGAGGCGGAGGTGGGCACACAACGAGAGCTACTCATAAATTGAAAACGGACTTACCGCACCTACCGCTCCCGCAGCTGCGCCCAATCCCGGTCCCACTCCCGCTCCCGCCATTCCCTTGCGCAGTGCATTCAGCTCCAAGGCGGCCACGGCTGGAGCCACATAGCTGCTCAGATTCCCACCCGCAGCCAGATGAGATAGACTAGCCACGGTTGACTTCAGTTGCTGCTGCTGCTGGGAGCTCTTGAGTGCGGCTACCGCAGCTGCGACCCCCGGTGGGGGACCAGATGGTGAGCTGCTAGCGATTTGCTTGTCCTTTTTTATGGCCGCGGGCAACTGGCTGCTGCTGCTGGCCAGCGGTGGCACAGGCCGCATCATTGAAGGATTAGCACTCGAGCTTAAGGCGGAGCCAGCACTTGCCAGAGAAAGGGAACCACCCCCGGCACCTGCTGTATTTGACTTTTCAGCCTTGGGACTGAGGCTGAGGCTGGTGGCCGCCGTCGCACTTTTCAGAGTGGACATGCTCGGCTTCCCGGAGGATCCATGTTTGGGCGAGAGAGTTCCGAAAGGCGACTTCGGGCTGTTCGAGGCGGTGTTACTGTTGCTGTTGTGCTTGGGACTGCTGTAGACAGGCGAGTGCTTCGGACTGGGGCGCGCCGATGGCTGGCCGGACATAAGGGCCAAAACAGCTCCAGTTCCGGAAGATGAAGTTGAAGGCGAAGAGAACTTGCGCACAACTCCGCTCCCTGCCGTGGCATCCGCCATGCCACCACCCGCAGGCGAGTTCTGGCGTGAGTATACCTTCTCGGGAGGGCCCATGGGCGAGTCATCTCGCTTCTTCTTGCGCTTCTTTTCCTTCTGCGTGTCGCTGGAGGAGCTGCTGTTGCTACTGTTGCTCGAGTTCGAGGAGGCAGACAAAGAGGAGCTGCTCTCATGGGGCCGCTTAGTGGCACTTCCGGGTCCACTCATTACTTGCTTTTTCGCCTCCTTGCTCCCCTCTTTGCTAACTCCAGTGATGGGCGTTATGGTGATTGTGGTGGCTGGGGACTCTGTGCTGGGCGTGGCTCCCACGCTGGCCGGTGCATTCAGTGGTATGATCTCAATGCCTCCCGTGCGCTGCACATCCACCTGCTGCTGTAGAGGGGACTTGCCATCGCCGGCAATGGGCGTGATGCTGACGCAATGCTTCAGGTTGGGCGTCTTGTCCTTCCATATGTTCTTGTACTTGTCGGCGATCTCATTGTCGGTAGCCTTGGATGCTGTCACAGAGCTGGGATTACTGCCTTCGGCAGCTTGAGGGTCCGTTTCCCGCTTCAAATTCATAAGTCCAGCAATGGCCGCAGCCGCCGATGTTGATGCAGCGAATGCATCTGCTAGGGATCGTACCTTGGAGTCTATTTTGAGATTGCTAACACTATTGAAGCCGCCGCTAGCTCCACTGCTGCCTTCGCCTGCACCCGTGTCCATGGCAAACTGTCCGAAGTTGCTTGCTCCGTGCATCGCTCCACCTCCAATCCCGCCTCCACCAGCGCTACTGAAACCACCTGCTGTCCCGCTGCCGGCTCCTGGGGCGATAGCGCCATGCAACTTTTGCTGATGCTCCTCATCCCAGCACTTAAGCAACTTGTATATAACCATCGGTATGGAGAGAACCTGACGCACTGTTCGGGTCAGCTTCTGAGAGAGCGCTTCGTAGTCGTTGCTGAGGCAGTAAATAGTGCAGGTCGCCTGGCCGTCCTCAAGCAAAAAGTCGACAGTGGCCAGCGACTCCTCGTACGGATGCTGCAGTTCCACAGTGATCTGATTGAGCGAAACAGCAGTGACCTCCAAAATAACAGTGCTATCCATGTCTAAAACGAATTCAGATTGTTTTTGTATACGCAATTTCTTTTAACTCTCGAGTTTTAATGATATGTTTTATACTTACCGTTGTATTGCTTCTGCTGCTCCCTGACGCAACTGGAGAGAAGCGTGTAGAAGAGCGCCTGTTTCTTAAGGAACGCGATTATCTTAGGCACCTGCGCAGGCTCCGTGAATGGCAGCGACGATATCAGAGTGCCCTTCAGTCGGCGGTTGTCCGTGAAGAAGTAGCAGTGTGTCTCCTTTGGCAAATTAACATACAAGCCTTTCTGGGTGCCCTTTATCACCTGCCTGGAGGCCGTTTGCACGATCAGATTCATGACAGTCATCGTTCCCTCGCTTGAAAGGCCCGACAGGCCCGGCAGAGACAAAGCACGCAGAGACTCAACGCAAACGGGCATGGGTTTGCTAAGGCGCAGAACATAGGTAGCCGGCATCAGCATTGAGTTGTTCTGCGTAAGCGGCGCATAGCCGGGTTGCTCTAGTGGCAGCCCCGACTCGCTAGTGAAGCTTAGAATCGGCAGGATTTGCAGCTTGTTCGCGGAGGAGGCCTCGAGATTAAGAGTCACGCTTAGTCCGTTAGGACTCTTCATCACCTGCTCAATGCTAAAGTCCCTGCTCGCAGTTCCACTTCCAGTTGCAGCGGCCACCTTTTCCCCTTTTGTCTTCGTCTCAATGAGGTGCAGAGGCGGACAGAAGTAGGTCAGCTTCATTGGATGTCCACCGCGTCGCTGCAGGACTAAGCCCACCGAGGATTTATTCATAATGTAGTAGCTATCGCTGCTGCCACTGATCTGCTGCTGTAGCTGCTGCTGATAGAGATTGAAAATGTCCGTTTCCATGGCCTGCAAAGCCACGAAGGCCTTCTTTTTGACTTTAGGCTCCGCGTTTAGCTGGTAAATGGAGGATAGGCCCTCAAGCTGCACCGTGAAGTCGGCAAAGTCGCCCGCCTTGAGGCAGTTGAGCAGCTCTCGGGAACTGGCGCTGGAATTTGATTGCTGCTCAATTTTGCACTCGTGGTGTACCTTGACATCACTGAGTTTACCACTGGCATCCAACAGTATCTCTACGTAGAACATGTCCGTGGAAATGAATAACATTTGCTGATCCTCCATGAATTTTAGGCCCAGCTGGCGGGACAGACTCTCTAAACGCTCTACTAGTCCGTGCCGGGATGTTACTTTGATATAGTGCTGCAGTTTGTCCAGTGCCGACTGCAGCGCTGCTTTGCAGAGGGGATCCATTGGATAATGCTTCTCTATGAAGTACATGCGCACCGACTTTTTGATGTCCTCGTAGCTTTTCGGCTTGTTCCGGTATTTGGCTCGTAGCTTCTCCATCATCGTCTCCTGCTGCACTTGCTTGTTTTTCTCTTCAATGCTAGGTATGGGCATTACCACGGCTGTGTGGCTGCCATATCCGGCTGTTGGTATGAATATAAAAATTCAACGTAAATTATTTTCATAGATAAGCAATCTAATAACATACCTCCGCCAATGGTTTTCGAATGGGCTCCACTCATTTTAATGCTATTTCCTTATTAAGATCAAGATGAAATTTGTTAACGGAGTAGAAAAAAAAACTTTAGGCATCCATTTTTACTTTCAGCGAACGAACAACCGTCATTCAAGCCGGCTTGTTTTACTGAACCGAACCAGTTCGTTTCTGCGTTGTTATCGATTTTAACTTGCGATGTTTTTACGCGCGTCATATTGGAACTTGGTTCCGGAGCCGCAATCACTCAATTAAAAATTCATTTATTTAAGTTTTTAAGCATAAAACCAAATAAATGTTAATGCTGAATACATTTTTAAATTATAAGTTGTCTACATTCATTTGTTTTTGAACTTCAGCTTATAATATGGTTAAGCCAAGGGGTTAAAAAAATATGTTTCACCATTTTTTAAATTCTTCTTCTTTAAATAGCCTCGTTCCCGGGTCTAGGGCATAATTCTCTTTGCTGCACATGGCAAAAGAAAAGTCTGAAGTAGGTTGTGGACAATGACGGTCGCGCGGTGCGCAAACGTACTCTTGTAATTTGCGAGAGTGCTTTATTTTGAGATCGGCCGCCAAAAAATTTAAATTAGACAGAATTAAATTATTTAATGCACCCGTTAAACTACAAATATTAATTCATGTGTACAAATATTCAAAAATAATTACGTGCATATATACATACATGTATGTACATAAATGTGTGCCGGGCCAAAAATGTGCATTACAATGCGCTCAACAAAGAAAAAAAAAACGAAAGAAAGTGCCTGAACTTACGCCGTCGCCACCGCTTAAGGAGATAAGGAGAGTGCCTTATTTTGAGAACGGCCACCAAAAAATTGAGGTTAAACAGAATTGAATTAAATTACTCAATGCACCCGTACAACTACAAGTATTAATTTATGTGTGCAAATATTCAAAAAGAATGACAGATATACATAAGTACATATATACATATGTACATACATAAATTTCTGCCGGGCCAAAAATGTGCATTACAATGCGCTCAATAAAATATAAAAAGGAAATAAAGCGCCTAAACGTACACCGACGCCTCCGCTTCGACCAGGGGAAGGTTCCGGGCCGGAAACACACGTTCGTCGATCCACGGCTTATTTTCCCCGACGCTGACCCAGGAGGACTGACCAAAGAGGAGCAGCGGACGAGACAACGATGGCAATTAAACGAGTGAGTTCGTTCCGTGGGACCCTTCCTTGCGCTAGGATAAAGCTAGAGGCCAGAAAGCCTGAATAAAGGTCCCGATCCGTTGTTTTTTTTTTTCGGTTAAAAATAAATTTCTTTAGTTCTGTGTTATACATACATATGTTTATGGATATTTGTTGATATTCATAGGAAAAACAATTGCCACAAGAAAATTTCAGAAAATAGCCTCGAAATTCCGCCCTACTGCTGATCAACTGATCTGAAGCATAATTATAAAATTGTATATTTCTTTAACTAGTTGTTTAAAATCTTAAATCTATTGCCTGGTAGTAGTTAAATCTATAAAATTAAATTTCCTATAATGTTTATAAAAGGCAACCTCAACAAAAAAAAATATATATATATATATATATATATTTGTATGTATGTATGTATATGTATCGCTTCCTGCTCGCAGAAAACCGGCTATACACAATATATCGTTAGAAATCAAAGCCTCCGGTTTTCTGCGAGCAGGAAGCGAACGGCGCCAAAAGATATTGCTACTGCCCAAACAAACATAAAATCTTAAATATTAAATATCAGCACGAGAAATGTGCACATGCATACATATATACATTAAAATATATCCTTTCCTATCGCCCCATACAAACCCAGAGAGCTCTTTAGGCAGTGTAAGGTAGTTTAAGCGATTTAAAATAGTTGCATGCTACACAATTTCTAAATTTTAGCATTTAGACATATATTTAATTAAATATCTCACGAATTTTTTCCATAAAAGATTACAAAATTCTTTGTTTTGCAATCGGAAAATTGTACATTTAGACGAGAAACTCAACGGACAACTACCAAATTTACAATCTAGATAAAATTAATGTCGACTTAATTATGTATATAGGAAACCTCGGTTTTATGCTTAGCGCGCGTGTTATACAATCTTCCTTTCTGAAATCCTGGGAGTCCTCAACATAGTGGTGCTTGAACATAGACATGTATATGCATATGTTCCTTTGTGGATTTAATAAATAATAGGTCCGCTGCTTTTAGGATTAACAATATGAATGGGTCTTTATTATATTACAGAGTACCATGTATCAATTTACCAAGTCAAGTGCTGAGGCTCTCAGAATGTACTGTATGTGTATGTATGTAATATATATATACGGGTCGGAACATCCTTTGTTCCATATGTAACATATGTCTCAACAAAGGATGGGAGATGTTATGGCTTTTGAAATCAGCGGGGCGGCTTCGTTGGTGGCGTAAGAGGTTTTGGGTATGGCGTGTTAACCCCCTCCCCCCTCCGATGGAATGGCCTGAACGCAAATAGAGCCTGCGTCGCTTGGCGCGTAGATTATTTGTCTTCTTTTGTGCCAGTATACTATTGCTGATAGTAATATCAGCGAATAGATCGATGCCAGGTGCGACTACGAGTCCTCTTCCATTTTCCGTAGTTTTTGTTGGTGGTTGCCATTTTGTAAATTGAGTTTATGTAGATTGATTCGTTCCGTAGTTATGTTAATTCTCACATTCTCTATCATCCATCATGGTTGTAGAGTCGTCATACTAATGATCGTTGATCTTTATTGTGCAATTGGTATATTCAATTATGATTGAACCCTTAAATAACCTTTATAGGTGATTTAATTGAAACTCTTCTTTGCTTAATATTGCTAGCTTAATTAAAAATAAATTAGTCTAAATCTATATACATAAATGCTCTATTGATTCAATTTTCATATTTTGCGTTTCTATAGTTTTGATTATTTCTTGGATTTCTTTATTGTAACATTCCTTTTAATAGTATTTTTTCAAATACTTTGGGAAACGTAGCTAGGACATGGAACATAATTATAATGTAACTTATTGTTTTATCTATTTTTTCACATGTCCAATTGATGAGCTAGAATCTCAAAAAGCTAGAAAAGGCCTTTAGTATGGTTTCTCTAGACAACAGCCTACTGGGAGGCAACTTCAAGGAAGCCATAGATTTTTATATTTATATATTTATATAGAAGTAAAAAGTGGAGTTCGTAATAATATCGAATTCTATTTCATTTGAATTTGTATGATCCACCTTTATATAGAAGTAAATAGTGGAGCTTTTTATAATATCGAATTCTATTTCATTTGAATTTGTATGATATGCGTCAAATTTAATATTTTTGTACGCTTCTTTTCTGGAGTTTTGTTTGGATTACAGTATCTGAATTAATTAATAAACTTAATGTAATTCAATTTATTTTTTTTTTTTTTGATAATGAACGCTATACATATTTGTTTTTTATTTTATTTTCCATTGCTTTTGGGGCATATAAGCATTTTGACTGTCTTCAACGAGATGCGGTCATTCTGAAAAATAGCATCCATTTTGGACACCTTATGATAATTATATTTGCCATTAAAAAAAAAAAAAAACAATATAAAAATAATTGCTTTTAAATTGTTTTGCATTAATCTTATGAATACCCGAAGCATCAGCAAAGTCGGTGCAGTCACTGTCAACGAGCTTCTCTTTGCAGCTTCTTAGTTTCTTGGCACAAATGTTAATTTCGTTTTTGATTTTGGACATATTTTGGTCCTTTTAGGCAATTGATTTTCTTTGCTGCTCAAACTGATTCTCAAAGTCGCGCATTTTCAAGGCATTGGAATTGAGTTTATTTATGTCATCTTTTATTGATGACACTTTTTTAATAGTCTGTTTTTAGAAACCAATTGTAATATTTGAGTTGATAATGTTTTTAACAAAAGCACGTTAGTGCTGGTTGACTTGAGTTTTTAGAAATGTTTTTATTCAAACTAAAATATTGCGCTTAACCTATGGATACATGCATATACTTATGCTGTTATTGGTTAACAGCTACAAAGAAAGGGAGATTGAGTAGCTCGCATATGCGTGTATTAGTGAGCATATATATTGCTCACGGAATGCGCTCAGACGGAGCGTGGGATCTGCAGCGTAAGCATAAACGGCCAGCTAGTGAGGCTAGTGAACCGCGCTGCGTAATCTGAGACCGAGCCAATACATAAGCTGGCTCTGGGCTTGTTTACGTTATTATTGTTATTGTATGCAACAAAGTGCTGCATACTTTATATTTGAATACAGGGTATTCTGTACGGGCATATACGCACTACAATCGATTCGGTTTCGAGTCCGAATACGTCACTAAACTGGGTGCATAAGTTAGTCAATTCGTTTTTGAATTGTGGTGGAAAATTTTTAGCTAATTGAGATAAGACAGTTTTTTCTCTATTTTCCGGATTGTTTTGAACTATGTCGTAGTTCGAAAGTGGTTCATATGACAAATTTTGAATACTACTACTTGATCGGTACTGGTCGTATTCAGTAATCGGACAAATGCATTTTTGGTTGTTGCAACTGTGTTTGCAACATAAATGCCTTCTTTAATTTCCTGGCTTGGAATTAGTACACTATTTTCATCTGATGATAGGTGAATTTTTCTGACTACTTGGGATCTTGCTGGTAGAACAATGGAATTATTACCAGAAATGTATGTTATTGGAACATAAATTGGGAAATTTAGATTATTTGGTCTCATTATGAGCCAATCTTCATTTGGTTTGAAATCTAACTGGCAATTGAATTTCTTAATGAAGTCAATGCCTATTATTCCATCACAAGGTATTGCGAAATGCAAATCTACTAAGTGAAAATCGTGTGGAATTATGTATTTACTTGTCTGTATCTCTATTGAAATCAGTCCTTTGGACTGTATTATGTCTTGGCCTATGCCTTGAATATTGATCTTCTTATTTATTTGGATATCATGAAAGATATCAGAATTTTCCTTTAACAGAGATATGTCTGCACCAGTATCTATTAAAAATACAAGTTTTTTATTTGTCTTCACATTGAAAAAGCTTAAAAATATATTCAAACTAAGATTGATGGTATGAACAGCATAATTTCCTACTGCTGAATATCTGAGGGTT